ATGGATTGACATAACACAACAGTAATTACACCCATATCCATTTTATTAAAGGCTGTCAGGTTATTCTGGTGAGAAATCCTCTGACAGATGAGAGGTGCATTTCATATTTTCTGTAGTTTTGGAAACAAATATAACTGTGTGGTAAACAGGCACTAACAGAACGTATAAAGTAAATGCTTAAAATCTTAAAATAAGTAGTTGGCCCTTTTGCGACTCTCATTTCTGTACGTTAAATATAAGGCTACAGTCAGCAGCAGGTTAAGTTAGCTTAGCTTAGCAGAAAAACAAGGGAAACAGGTAAACAGCTAGCCTGGCTCTGTCCAATAGTGACAAAATCCACCTTTTCACAATTGACAAATAAGTGCGATAAATCTGGATCCAACATTAAATTACTTGCCACACTAGTGATTTTTTGTTGCGTTACATCATTCTGTCTCTTGCTTGCACGCCTTCCCGGCATCATTCAATCACTCATTTCCTTGCCTAGGAGAAACAATTAGGCTGCTGTTGAAAAGCAAGTGTTTATTTATAAACACACACACACACACGCACACACACACACACACATATTCCTGCTCCTACTTCACACCCTCTCCTCTGCAGGCCTGGGCTGCTTTTTGGGGTTTTCATCTTTCAAAACACACTCATTAAATATGACACAATGACAATACCATTCATTTCCGGGCTCTTTAATTACACTTAACGGGGGTTTTGAGCAATTATGGTCCCATAAATATCATTCCCATAGCAGTATGTATCAGTGAGGGTGAAAAAGCACGGTTCAGTTGTCCCACTGACACTCTCTCATTTTTGGGTCAATGAAAATGAGTCACATCTGGACAAATTCACAAAGGCAGTTTTTTTTACCTTTTTCTGACTTTTTAAACTTGCCACCTTACAGAAAATGTCTTAAGATGTGAAATTACATTGGAAGTCTATAAATTGCTGTGACGAAGATTACATTGGTTTGATAACACAGGCATTTTTGGGGTTTGAAGACGGTTATTTCCAAATCTAATTATGTATTGAAATCTAATCTTCTCATTTTCATGGCATTTTAAACTATATCTAAAATTTATATATTCTTCTATCTTTGAAAGAGGACACAAGATGACAATTACATTACATTTTTCCAAAGTGTCTTGAAAAGATTTTAAGTAAGTTTCAACTTAGAGCACCAAAAAAGTACAAAAAAATATAGTACAAATACCTGGGAAGTAGATAATAGGAGAATAACAGAGGTAAATTATACTTTGCTGGGAATAAGAGGTACTAATTGCTTTTAAAACTGATGAATGTAAACTAAAAGTTATTAATGCCATTTACATTTTTAAAAATGTTAATGTTAATGTTATTACACATTAGCAAGAGACCCCAAGACACTGTGGTGTAAAATTCAAGTATTAAACCAACATAATAAACTATAATTTCAATAATGTATTGTGACAAATCACAAAGGCTGCACTTTTATGAGCCAGTATCAAACTTGCTTACGTACTGTATCATAAAATCAGCAAAATATCTGAAACTTATTTTTTGCTTGACTGCCATCGACTGGGATTTTACTGGACATTCACAAACCAAAGACAAAATGTCTTCATTTATAAAGGATTCATGGGAGAAAATCTGTTTGATCAGGAGCTGTCATTTTACAACATTCACGTTCTGTGTGGCAAGTGTGAAGAAATGTTTATGAACTACTGAGGCTGATTGTGAATGGGAAACGGAAAAATGGAGACAACCTCTGGTAAATATTATTGTCCGGAGATGCGGTCGCAGCAACAGTTGGCGCCATGCATGCGCGCACACACACACACACTGACACACAGATGCATGTACACACAGTGTCAGGTATGCAGGGTAATCAGTGAAGGAGTGAGGTTATGGATAAGCTGCCAAACACCCCTCTGGATCCAGAAAAGCAGAGATGCAGGGAGGGAAGTGGGGGGGTGGGGGTGTCCATCATTGAGGCCCCCTGACAGGAAAGGACAGTGACCAGAGGGTCTGGGAGAACTCAGCACAACCTCCGACCTCCGAATGTTCCCTCAAACTAAGTCCAGGCTTTCAACATCTGCTTTTGCACAGCCTGTCCCCTTTTATTTCCTTTCATTTAGACAGAAAAACTTTAATGTTTGGTAGCTTTTAATCCAGCGGAAACCAGGTCAGTGTTTGGACAGAGAAAGCTGTGAAGATAAACGTTGAAAGATAAAAAGGGGGAATTCATAGTTGAAAAGAGGGGTTGCGAGGAAGGAAGGGGATAGAGAAATGAAACTGTGAAGTGGTTGGTCTTACATTCTTTGGTGTTGCGCGGTGCATTCTGGCAGGAGTGGCAAACCATTCCATAGAGATTCCTAGGTCTGTTTTCCAGCATGTAATACCTGGGAGACATAAAATGCATGGGTATAAGAGCAGCAACTTGTTAGACTATATAATTAGGCTACAACCTAAACCTTAGACAAGAATCAGCTTTAAAGGTAAAGTTTTTTTTAAATAAAAACTGCAAAACTAAAAACACTTACAAGTAATCAGCAAGCATGGCAGGTGTGTTTTACCTTTCGCACATACCATACCTGCAGGATGCATAAGTATGGGGAAGCAGCTGAGGTGAAAAGTTTGTCTAAGTGAAAAAATGTATATAATTGATGCCCTGAAGACACTAAACATGGCTTGGTACATATCATCGCCCTGATTCATGAAGCGTCTATTAGAGGAAAGGAGAGGGGCAGGCAGTCTGTGAGTGACTGGGAGTGGTGTTAAATCACTTAGTCTTGACGACATTATCAGTTTCAACGCATAATGTATGCAGCATACATGCAATTAACTGATGCCTTTATATATAGATATAGTTCAGAACAACTGGTTCAATCTTGTACTAATGGACACGTCAGCATCACAAGAACACAAGAATTCATTTAAGGATTTCTGAGGATTTTGTAGGACAGATATTAAAGGGAGTGAAGGACTTTTTTTGCTGGTGATTGGTTTTGGATTTCTGCCATTACACATTAGTCACTGTATTTTAACTACAAATGACTAGGCACAATTACAAATGACTCATTTATGACAAACTAATGATTTGTTCAGCGGTTTATGTACAGCTCCATTAACTCAGGTTGTACTCCTTTATTCTAAATTGTTTCATACAATCATACATAAAACACCCTAATCTAAAGCTGTGTTAAACTATCACAAACATTTAGCAAACTATTTAGAAGATGGATAGACATCTCTCACATTATATCAATAAATAGTAGTAATAATAGTAATAGTAATATTTTAAATAAAAAAAACAGGTAAATAGCACACAAACTATTTGTTAATCAATAACAGTAATGTATATGTTTCTTCATCTTTATTAACCCTTACATATGCAATACTCCAGCTAATATTTTAGAAATGTTGTAAATTGTATCACTGCTAATGATGTACTGTTCCGTATTATTAAGACATCATAGATAATAATGAAGAATTAATTAAGTCCACATGAATTCATTGCTTAATAATAGCGTATAAACATTAATAAGTGCTACTGAAGTTGCTCACAGGGAAACCAGCAGATAAACACGTCCGTCACAACTCATTCTCATTTTCCTCCGGGTCTTTTCCTCCACTGAGATGCAAGTTTTAACTGAACTTTTATTACAACTGTTCAGGCCTGTTCTGCTCTGCATCAAACATGTGTGGACTCCGCTAACTGCAGCGTACAAAGTCCCATACATACAGTACAGCGTTTACAGTACACATACAGACATAGACATGACCTAACTCAGTGTTCCTGAGCACACTCGTTCCTGCCACAATCACACTAATCAAAAGCAAAAACATCCTGTGAAAGGAGACCGAGAGCCAAGAAAAGTAGAAGGCGGAAGGACAGCATCCAGATTGATGACAAGAGGAGGACATTTCAACATTTAACTTTTCTCTGTTGGAATGGTAGGGTTATCCAATAGCCCCAAATCATGAATCTTGCATATTTACGCCAATTCCTTCAAGACTTACTTCATTATATACTGCCCACATTCAATCATTAGATGAAATATGATTCAGAGATATAATCATGCATTCATTTTGCCAATGTTGATGTGTAAAATATCTATCACACAGCAGGGTATCCAAACCAGTGATTGAAGATGTTGAATGCTATAAGAAAGAAGTTTTGTGTCGACACAGCCAATCAGTCAACTTCTCCAGAGAGGCAAGAGGAGGGGGGAGTGATGGATGATGGGAAGGACGAGTGAGGAAGAGGAGGAGAGGACGGTCTGGTAATGTTTAAATGTATCTCACTGACTTAATATTTTTAAGAGACAGGGCTGAATACATAGCTGTCATGTGGAAATGGATTAGTTTAGGATTTAGTGTGTGTTTGCACATAAAGGGAGGCAGTGAATTAAAATGAAGACAACAGGGTGGTCCAATTATGTCAACTCAAGCTACTCATGCTGCTTGCTAAGATTTGCTAAGATTGTTTGTGTTTGTATGTGTAGTATAGACTGAGTATATAGTACACCGTGCATACCAGGTTAATTTTATAATCTTTTTTAAAAATGATAGCTGTTTTTTGGCTTAATTTATTTATATTCTTATATTAATAAGTGAGCACATCACCAGTCTCAATGTAATTGGAAAACGAGGGTCAGGTCAAGTAAAATAAAAATCTCCTTCATCAAAATATACAATCACTTGTCAACTTCCCATTTAATGAATAACGGATTGAACTTTTACAATGTTTGATCTGTGTATTTGTAAATTTGTTTATAATATCTTTCATTTTACAGAAAATCTGTACTTGCTCAAAAGTGAAAATCCTACCCTCCTATCACTTATAATATTTTAGTGTTTCTGCAGGGAAAGTTTCCAGGAGATTATTAATCAAGTTGGGTGCCATAACTTTTCCAAACTTTTCCTATGGTGTGGTTGTTGTGCATGTCAGAACACATCTTACTGATGACTTCCTGTGAATTGTGTAATCAGGACATCTTGTGTGGTTATTTTATGCAATACTCATTAAAACATTTTGCAGAAAAGAACTAATGTTAGGCTGCCTTTTAAATCTTAGCGCTACAGAGAACTTTTTTGTGATGGGGTCCCTGTTTATTTTCATGCACGCACACAAGGATGCACATGAGTGTACGCACACGTGATGTGACACACGTTCCTGCCATTGGTTTCACAATATTCCAGTCATCTACAGGTGGCAGTAAAGTGCCAAGAATCGCAGCATTGCACCAGCAAAAAAATGAGGAAGAAGTAGACATGGATGCACAATGCAAGTTTAAAATGTTCAAAGAATTGTATTTGCCTGGCTTTAAATGTTGCTGCATGTACCTGAGCATTAACATCCATATCAACAGTAATATTTGAAATAACAGTTTCTATCAAGTGGAGAAAAAAATAAATATTATTATCATTCTTTTCTTTTCTCCCAGAAATCCTACCTCTTAACTGCTCTTATGAGCTCTCCTTCATTGGCACAGTGCATCTCAGAGGTTCAGTACAAGGAGCTGCTGCCTAAGTTAATCAGTTGGTGAATAAATACACCCAGATTGTGGCAGCCCTCCATGAAAACTGGATGTAAACAGAAACCTTTGTTTGTTGCTGTTTAGGGCTTTTTTAAGAAATTGAACATGCGAGCTGCTTCAGTGGCAGCTCTATGAGTGGTCACTTTAATAATATTTGAAGTATGTTCAGTATTGTGTAATTATTGCCTCCTGCAAATGGGTTATGAACCGTGTGTTTGTGTTGTTTACCCTGGCAAACAGGGTCCACACTCTGCGTCGCTGTCCGGGGTTCCCGCTACGCGCACAGTGGCTTTGTAGAGGGCGTCACAGTCTTTATGCCGTCTACAGATCTCATACTTCCCTTTGGAGTATTTCCCCTGTGGGCATGGCACACAGGCAAAGTCCTCATCCTTCACACCGTAGCCACAGGTCTGCAAAACATACACACAAAGACACATACGCATTTTGGTTAATATTTACAGGAAATTTAATATGTCATTCTAAACAAGAGGATTTACAACTGTGCAGTTGGACACATTGAAAAACAGCACACACTCGCAAACACACATCTGTTTCTGTCCATGCCCTTAGCAAATCTGGCATCACTGTTTTGAGATGACAAAAGAGAAATCTGATTGGCCACAGAGGTCCTTGTGTGTGTGTGTGTGTGTGTGTGTGTGTGTGTATACAGCGTTCCATGCCTGGTAGTGTTTAAGATGACCAACTCATCAGTCTGTCTTCTACCATCGATCTCCTCCCATCTCCGCATGTTAATTCCTCACAGTGGGGAGGCCGAACAACAGGCCACACACACACACACACACACACACACTCTCTCTCTCTCTTTCTGCTCCCTTTCTTTCATCTTTCATTTCCCTCTTACTTTCATCTGTCTATTAAAAGAAGCCTATGCCTCTTAGCTTTGGGCTACAGTAGACCGACTCCAAAATCTGATATTTCATCCCCTTCTGTTTGACGTCTCTAAGTCTCAGTGTGATTGTTTGATTTAGAACTGAGCTGAGCTATCGGCAACATCTTGTCGCTTTGGGTTAAAGCTTGCTTTGGATCTTTTTGTACGCAGGATCACCACGGTTCTGCTTCTGTTCGTTCACGCGAGGCTGTTCCGATTGAAATTCTTTTCAAAATTTGTCGCCACTTTGACTGCGTATCATAAATCCAGGAGGTCGGGGAGCAAAACTAGAATTGAGTTTTCTGGCATTGTCGCCTTTACTTTGAAAGTTGACCGAGAACGGAAATGCAGTGGGAGAGAGTGGGAGAGAGAGAGAGGGTGATGACATGCAACAAAGGCCCCAAGTAGAATCAAAGAGGGGAGGTTGCAGTACATGTTAGGCATCTTAAACCACCAGGCCACAGGGTCCCCTCAGGGAGCATATCCTCAATGTTAAACAGCTTTCACACACCATGCAAGCTGCCTTGAAACTGCAATACCCAATTCTTCAACGTTTCCTCATCTCAACATCACTTTTGTCACTCAATAAAGTTAGGAATTCAGAAAAATAAGTCTGACTTCAGTATTTATGTTCGACGTGTAAACTAGCATGAAAATGTAATCCAGCTACATCACACGCAATCTGGATACAAGATGCATTTTAAAAGCGTTCTTGGATGTCTTTATCGTTGTGTGATGTGCTGTGCAGTGTCTGTGTGTGTGTAAGTGTGTGTGAGCGCGTACTTTCTGAAGTCTTTGTTGTGAGGAGGAACCCTATGGTTATCTCATGATTAAAAGGGTGTCAAGAAACACACACACACACATGCAGGGAAATCTCAGGGGAACAAAATAATACATGAATTACAGACCGTGGCACCCAGAGGATCAGACAGGCAGGAGAAAGTGCAAAGGGGGCTCTCATCTCACTGATTAAACGTCTTTCTTCTCTCATGTTTCTATCGCTTACAAATGGCTAAATGACTCTATGAGAGAGCTCTGTGCTTATCAGATTGAGCTTCTCATTGCTGTCTCTGTCTCGGACAGTGGATCACTTGATTTTACAAGTTCAAACACAACACACTGTTATGGATGCTTACTGTGGAAGCACATGGTTGCTTAGTGAACACAAGGCAGGAAGGAGGGACGCAGGAAAGGAAGGAAAAAAAGATTTACAGCTGGAACAATCATCAGATTTTTATGCGTGCTTATGGAGCTAAAAGAGACAAGGTCAGAAGAAAGGATGGACGAAAAGAAGGAAGTGTTGTTAGAGTGTTGTGATTATTCCCAGTTTAGTGAAGGATGAAACAACAGAGTTCAGTTTCAGCTTTTACCTCCAGTGCCACCACAAGGCTGGCATGACTGGTTTCGAGTGAAATGTCTCAATAACTATTGGATGGATTGCCATGAAATTGACTTTTTACAGAATAGATTGTATCGATTTAACTTTGGTTTATGACCAAATACCTGCTAAACCAATGGCATTCCCATCAGCCTCAGCTGCATT